GTGTAGCTAGTATAAAATATGACTTAAAGGTCTTCTTGATCCATCCAATAAGCATTTATTAAGGGTCTTCTGTGAACCAGGCAATGAATACTTCCTGCCTGCCTCAAGGTTGTCACACTTTGGTGGAGATAAAGTGCAGTAAGGTAGTACAAACACTATGATTGATGGTGGTTGGGGGTAACCCAAAGGAAGGAATAATCAATTGGGGGGAAGTGGTAAGAAATTAACAAGGGTCCCGAGGAGAAGGTGTCATGAGCTAAGATCTGCCAAAGGAGTAAGCATTTGCCAGAAGAGGATGCTTGAATGCGTGGAGGCCTGTTCTGAGAGCTGCAATGGGGAGCTTACTGAAAAATTGAGGCAAGTTAACAGGATCAGATTTGCACATAAGGAAGATCACTTTGGCAGATTCTTAAAGCTACCTTACGAGTGGTGAATCCAGATGTGACAGGTTGTCTTTCCCCAGAGACCACTGGAACAATCTACCCTACCCCACATGCTCTTCTTTCAATGTGACTTGACACTCCAGCCTTAGAAAGATGGGGTCTGTCCCCCTCACTTGAAACTAAGGGGGGGCTTTTGTGCTGGTTTCCTGTCAACCAATACAGTACATGAGTTATGAGGCGATGTGACTTTTCAAGGTTACATAATAGAAAGGGGACAAAAACTTGCTCTGAGGACAAAAACTTGGAAAGACATTTTTTTTGGAATATGAAGAAAAAGGAAGCTCAGATGTGGCACTCTATGGAGTGCATAGTAATATACTAATATGCTTGCCTGAAAGCAGTCCTGTTCAATTCCGAGGGAGAATCACTACCTGAATGGAAATGTTAGCACCAACACTACTGTGAATTAAATGGATCCCTGAAGAAAGTGAGGGGCTGTTTTCAAATATTGTGAGTCATCCAACAAAGCAATCAAGGATTTTAGACAATCTTCAGTGGGTAACTTTTTCTGAGTTTATTGATGTGGCTCACATTTCATTTTATCTAAAGATCTTATATATGTGATCAAAACAATTGTGATACTTGAGAAATTGTGGATAGAATCGTGTTGCGATGCCAGAGACTGACCTGTGTTATTAAGTTTTTTAGCGTAATTTTAGATTTACAAGAGAGGTGCAATGGTAGTATAGAGTTCCTATAAATACTTCACTGCTCCTCCCTGTTGACATCTTACATGGTACATTTGGCAAAAATAATACAGTAACTCTGGCATATTATCAACTAAATTACAGATTTACCAGTTTTCCCACTAATGTCCTTTTTTAAATTCCAAGATCCATTTGGTTGTCATGTCTCCTCCAACTTATGAGTTTTCAGTTTTTCCTTGCTTTTCATGACTGTGAATTAAGAATGTTTCTTGCCCCCCTGGCGTGGCTCAGTGGCTGAGCATCGACCTATGAACCAGGTCACAGTTCCATTCTGGGTCGGGGGTATGGGCTCAATCCCCTTTGGGGGGCCTGCAGGAGGCAGCCAATACATATATATACATATATATATATATATATATATATATATATATATATATATATATAAAATCTTAATTTAGCTTTGTCTGATTTTTTATGATTAGATTATAGGAAGGAATGAGTTGGGGGTGGTAAAGTTAAGTGCTTTGGGGAAGAATAAGATGAAGTACTATTCTTGTCATCACACTTCAGGGGCATACATGTACTTTCAATTACTTGCTGAAGTTGGTGGGTAGGCCTCTCCTTATTGACTTTGTTCTGAGTTAAAGATGATGAACATAAACCATTCAGCACAGTGTCTTGCCAATAGAGAGCTCAACAAAGACCAGCTGTTAGTAATCTGAGTGTAAAGTAGTGATCTGGTTACAGTGAATCAGTGTCAAAAACTTTCGAAAAATAGTAACCCATCCCTTTTTTCAAACAATTATAAATATCTTCTTTGCAGAAGACTGTGGGATATGGGTCTGATCAAAGAAGTGCTTTCAAATAACAAATTATGGTATTTAACACTCATCACAGGCATTGCTAAACGTAATTTCATTAGGATGGGAGAAGAATTATGTATTTTTAAGTATAAAAAAATTCCTTTTGAATGTCATAAAACTCAGGCTGTTAGGAAAGCACCAAATGACAGAAGACATTACATTAAACACTGGCTCAATCTGCCAGATAAGACTTAAGGGACGTATGGACAGCAGGGTTGGAAACGGGCCCTACAAGTGCTTGAGGAGTTTAGATCATTTAAGATGTATCCGGAATAAGAGAAAACAGAATTAAATCCACAAGGAGAGTTTTAGAAAGGTGGTGCCTGTCCTAATGAGAAAAAGTGGAAGTGCTCAATAATGAGGCTGTCCAAGTGGCTGAAATAAAAGTAACTTCCTCAAATTCTAAAAACAGATTTTCAGTATTATCAGAAAGGCTTGTGGTCATACCGTAGAAAAGACTTTCATGAAGATTACTTTTTAAGGTCTGTCAGGGCAAGGAGTTCCCCCCTCCAAATCTGTTAAGACTAATTTTCATAAACACTTGGTATGTTCAAGGCACCATGCTATGCAACATCTAGTTTCCTGTTACATATCTCTACCAGCTCCCTTAAGCAGAGCAATCATCTGCTTCTATGGATTTTGTGCCAGAGAACTTGGGGAACTGGTCCAAGTAAACCTTTATACTTATCAGTCCTTGGTTGGCAGATAATCCTTTAGCACTTATGATCTCACGTAAATTCTCAAGCTCTTCTTTCCACATACACAAATATATTTCAGGATAGCTGGTTATTTTCAATGTAAGTGCAGGGATAGTTGTTCACTTGCGGTCTGTTTTTTTCAAGTGATCAAAACATTATATAGGAAACAGACGAACTCTAATTTGGAGCTTACAAAGCACTTGTGAATGTCCAGCTAGTATGTCTACCAATGTTTCTTTTTGAATAAAGATGCTCGGGCAGTGCTGGATGTCTGGTCAGTACTCACAGCTCTTGACGGTTTTACTGATGGATTCCACCAGTTTCCCCAGAGCCTTCGGGTCCATGTTGAATGTGGCTTCAACACACGGCAGACTTCTCAGATAGCGTAGCTCCACACCTGGGCTTCCTGGACTGCCACTGGTTCCAGTTCACGATGTCATACCCAACACAGAATGTGATGACGGCAACATTCCAGCAACCAAATACAGAAGGTTCTCAAGTAATTGGAAAAATATGCAACAATGGTTGTTACCTCTCAGTACTCATGCCATGATTTCACTAATGTTATTGTGATCTGAAATATCACAGCAAGTCTAACATCTATCTTTTCTTTGGGTCTAAACACCACTGACAGTGGTACTTGCTATTATACTGCCATTTATATTTCCTCAGCACAAATTCTACAGTTGAAAATGTTTCTCTCCTATTTGAACAATTAAACTAAATAAGATTACAAAGACCTTAAACTTTTAAGTTGAAATAAATTCCCAGGCTATAAAAAGCTCCTTCAAAGATCATAACCTCATTTGCAAACTCAAAACCAGTACCTTCTCATGATATCCAAACAGAGGCTTTACTCTGGGAGCTTCTAAAGAAACATTAAACCCCACTTTTACTCCTCCAACTTACATAACTGGTAGGAAAACATGATGCCAAAGGTAGACAAAAACAACTGTCTTAACTCTTGTCTACTGTCAAATCTTAGAGACCAAGCATCTTCTAGTTTGTATCTGATGGTCTTCACTGCAGTAAGAAAAAAAAAAGTACTAAAATAAATTTTAATAAAATAGAAAAACAAATTTTAAAATAAGGCAAATACAACTGGGGGGGAAAAGTTTTGTTAAAATTCTTCTATAGATTTAAGTTCAAAATGGGCAATTTCAAAAGTTTGAAACCTGCCCTAACTGGTTTGGCTCAGTGGATAGAGCGTCAGCCTGTGGACTCAAGGGTCCCAGGTTCGATTCCAGTCAAGGGCATGTACCTTGGTTGCAGGCACATCCCCAGTAGGGGGTGTGTGGGAGGCAGCTGATCGATGTTTCTCTCTCATCGATGTTTCTAATTCTCTATCCCTCTCCCTTCCTCTCTGTAAAAAATCAATAAAATATATTTAGAAAACCAAACAACAAAAAAATATATATATATATTTAAAAATAAAAGTTTGAAACCTGTCACTAAGTTTGAATAATTGCTCTCCTCTCTTTTCTTTGAAGTTAGCCATTGTTCTCTATAAAAGGAAAGAAAATTAGGCAATAGGCTTTAGCACATCTTGACTGATAGAATATGAGCCCATATTCTAGATAAAATAAATTCAGGACACTCTTGTGGTCTTTAAAGCACCTAAATATATTAAGGGCAACCAAATGACTCTAAAACAACGAGAAAGAGGTAGCACTGGTATAAATTCAATTTTTCTGTCCAGACACTCATCAATTTTGTCTCAGTTACCTTGGCATAATTATCTGAGTAACATGCCTTGTGTTGAAAAGGGGTGGTTGGTGGAGGGAAGAAGTAAGAGATGTTGACTTGCACCATAACATTACCAGTCAAATTTTCTCCCCATACCTTATTAGGAGAATGTTAAGGTTATCAAAGAGAAACAATGCAAAAGGTTATCTCTCAGCCAGTCAACAGTCTGGAAAGAGTACAATTTTGCCACATCACTTTCTTCCCCAGTCTAATAAAACAGACAGTTGCCTCTAGTGGAACAAAATCATCATATACTGGACCAGTCTGCAAAGGTACACCTTTAAGTTCATAGTAAAACTGATCATCAAACAACCCGATAAATGTACCTTTTAGCATTTTCATGAACAATTCTGAGAAACTTCCTTTTGGGTACAAAAGATCCCTCAAACTTGCTGTATACTCAAGAGCATATAGATATCTTTTATTAGGTAACAGTATGAAGCTTTACGCCTAAAATTTAAGGAAACTAACCAAGGAACATGTTGTTTTTTCAGCTAAAAACTTGGAGATATGTCTTATCCTCCTACCACTTAACACCTAGTAGTGTTTCTTAATCATTTTAACTTTACTTGTGACTCAAAGGAAGCTGATAGAACAAGGCTATTTTTAAGTAAAATAGCTATTTATTCAGCCTCTTGTCATGCCAAAATGTTTTGTGCATATACCACTGTAATTAGCACACAGGCAAAATTATACATCAAATTATATTTCATATTACCTGATTATATAAAAATGTAAAGTGAAAATGACTTATCAGTTCCTTTTAACATAACTAGTAAACAATTCAGCAGGAGTTACGAGGCACAAAATCTTAGTAAAATGACACAGAAAGAGCAATAATGTAATTCTCGCTTAAGTTTAACTTGTCATATTTTTTATGAATATACAAAGACAAACTTTTAAAACATTATATTTACTAAGATTCTGGCAAGAGCTTTATGTAACAAGACACAGAATACCAGGCCTGCCACTCAACTTGTATATGGTAAGTCTCAGCTTCAATATGAAGCTGTTACAAACAAAACCAACCAAACCAAATCTAAACTCTGCTTTTCACATGCTAATATTTTGGCAAGAATGCCATTAAATGCAGTAAGGAATTAAAGATAGCAAGAATAAAAAGTTAATAAAAGCTAAACTTTACAGCCTAACCAAAATTCATACAAAAAATAGCTATCACTGGTTACATAAAATATTCCTGACTGGTTAAAACTTAACAGTATAAAACATGCATTTTAGAATCTTTAGCTATCAAGTTCAAAAAGTACCAGTGTGTATTGGAAACGACTCCTTCCCAAAGCCAAAGTGTAGTCAAAATTAATCCAAATGTTATAATACATTCTAATAATAAAAATCATTCAGTATTATTGAAGTGGAGGTAAATTCCAGAGCTTCTGGGGCTTTCTCGTGCTGCAAAAGGCTGCTTCTCTGATTCACTCAAAGCAGCATATGACAGACCAAGGATGTTACTAAGCTCAGTAAAGCGCAAGACTGCCATACCCAGCTCTGACCTCCTCATGAAGCATGGCTACTGTGTCCGCAAAAATAGGATGTGTGAGGATAAAAGGCACGCTATTCTGCTAGCTAAAGAAATAGCAAACCACCCCCCACCCTTAAAAGCTCCTTCCCCAAGTAAATAAAAGTATACAAGGGGAAAAAATTAAAATACACTTATCTACAGAGTAAGGATTTTAAAGTATCAATGTAATCCCTACTTCAAAAACATTAACTAGAGTCATCTGGTCATTTCTGTTTATACCTTAATGATGTAGCCAGACTCAATGTCTGTTGATTTATCATTAGATACTTCTAGTCAAAAATATTAACTTTATTCCCAAATATCAACCACTAGTACGACTGCAGTGTATTATCTCCCAGAGTTATTAAGCAATGGAAGAGAACAAAGACAGATGTTCAAGGAGCAGGCAACTCTTATGGCCCTTTCACACAGCGGCATGTGAGTGGCTACCTAACAATCCAGGAATAATTCTAGAAACAACAAAGGTCATGCATTTTAGTAAATATGTCATTATTTTCACAGTTGAGATCTCCTCAGACATTGCACTTTCTTTATAAGGGAATCCTGATTTTGCCTTTCACGGTGAGTCAGGACTTGAACTAGCAGCCTTCTTTTTCTTTTTCTTACTGTGTTTCTTATGCTTCTTTTTCTTTTTTGTCTTTTCCTGTAGAGAGAGTTCCATGTTAGACATTTCTACATGAAAATATGCAAATTAAAAACAACTTTACCATGGTACTTCTGAGCTAATGTACAGTTATTTCAACAATCCACACAATCAAGTAGGCTACTCAAAACATTTCTTGAAAAGTCTCAATAACCAATATCATGATGAAGAGTGCTTGGCAATTTCAAAAAGGATAAGGAAAAACTTTTAAATCATTAGCACATTAATGTAGACTTAATCAAAATTTCCCATAGAAAATAACATGGTACCAATTGCTATATTTCATTTATTTACTTTCTAAAGGTAAAGTAATTGTAGTTACTGCAAAGAAATCCCCACACCACAGCAAAATAATGGTTTTTTGCAAAATCATAGTTTTCAAAAAGCACATATCTATTAAATCTGCCATTTTTAAGTAAAGAGAAACAGATATTATGTACTGCTTAGACCAGTGATGGCGAACCTATGACACGCGTGTCAGAGGTGACATGTGAACTCATTTTTTTGGTTGATTTTTCTTTGTTAAATGGCATTTAAATATATAAAATAAATATCAAAAATATAAATCTTTGTTTTACTATGGTTGCAAATATCAAAAAATTTCTATATGTGACACGGCACCAGAGTCAAGTTAGAGTTTTTCAAAATGCTGACATGCCGAGCTCAAAAGGTTCACCATCACTGGCATAGACTGAGAGCAATTGAATTAAGTTAACTAACTGGTACAAAATATTGATGGATAGTTGAAAAGTCTTTTTTTAAAAATTCTTTATTGATTCAAGTATTACATATGTCTCCTTTTTCCCGCATTGACCTCTCCCTGGCCACTCCCACCCCCCAGCACATGAGTTGAAAAGTCTTATTTAGCTTACTAAGACAGATGCTTGACTGTTTGAGGAAAATGCCACTGAAGCCTTGTAAAAGCAGTCAAATTGTCATTGGATAGAGGGAATTAGAATTTTGCTGAACTCAGATTTTCATGACTGACTGCTTCAGATACAGAAGAGAAAGCGGAACTTTTAGGAACAGATACTAGAAAGATGGTATCAAATGACAGACTATTTGTTTCAGGAGAAGAAAATAAAAAGCAAGAGGAGAGACATAGAAGTGTAGTAAAAGCAAAGCTTCCCACTCATTTCCTTATCTATTAAACTTTCCATAATCCTCCCTTCTCTCTCACAGGCCTCTAACACTTTGTGGACCTAAGCTAACTTTCATCATTCTTTTCATTACAAGCCAAGTATACAGGGACAAAGAGTCCAAAATCTTGTGTTTGGGCTTTTAAAAGTAAGTTTTGGCCTTGGCCAGGTGGCTCAGTTGGTTGGAACATCAGCCTATACACCAGAATGTTAATTCTGAATCACACATTACCAAATGAACCTTCTTATCAGAGAAGGACCCCCATCTTAAGAGCTAGGGAAATTATGGGAGTAACCCTCAAATCTAAAAATGATGTTCTCATTTTTATTTCACCTCTCCCTAAAAAAATGCCTTTAAAGACCAAGGTCCACACTTAGTATGCTGAGTGCCCCAGATTACTTTGCTGACAGGGTCCACATTACTCTTTGATATCTGTATTCACTTTGTCTAGGTGGGTCGACTTCTCATTCGATTACTGCTTCTGTTTCCCTTATTCTCCTCCTCCTCCTTTCTCCTTTCCTACTTCTCAATCTGCGTAACAGCAGAGCTGGCTTTAGAAATGATCACAAGAATAATCTTTATTACTGAATCATTTATGTTGTCGTATTCCAGCTTATTACTCACTGCAGTTTGTGCTTAGAGAGGCCTTTTCTGTTATTACCAGGGTTGGTTGATCTGGAAGTAACTTCTATTGCAGATAGAGGGAATCACCATACCTTAATATCATATTTCATACTACACCTTCAGAAAGTCAAACAAAAGTTTGAGCTTACACTTCTAACAAAATACTAAAATGGAAACAGAACATGCTTGGCATGAGGGTTTTCTTTCCTTTCCCTGAACCAACTTAATTTTCTCCAACCCATTAAGTGAAGCTGCTGAACACCACAATAAATATTTATTTGGTCCTAGTAAATGCAATCATGCTTTACCCATGACTCAATTTATATTAAATAAAAACAGCTATACTGTTGTCATGTAAAAACGTAAGAGATACTTGCTGTTGTTTTTTCTCTGTCTTCACTGCTTTTCTTCTTTTTTGCCCGTACCTAAAACGTTTAAGTTTTTGTGGAGAAAAGAAGACAAATATGTAACTTGTACTCATGGCATTTCTTTTTCATTCCCTAATATACCTTGCATCTTTAAAATGGGTATGTCAAAAATATCTGACAACCAAATGATATCTTAAATGCCTTGTTTAACCTCAAACCCATTAGATCACAATGAGGATTAAATAAAAAACATTTTTTAAAGAGGGGGAAATTAAGATCTCAAATCTCTAAAGGGCTTCTCTTATATTCCCTTTCAGCACCTAAATGCAACAGTGAGGTGCAATGGATAAAAAACATGAGCACTGAAATAAATAAAATAGACCAAGCTCTGAATCCTACCTCTGCCATGTATTACCCTCAATGTCATCATCTGTAAAATGGAAATTATATCCACCCTCAGGGGAAGTGCCTATAATAAAGTGGGGATTTCTCTAACTCTATGGTGTTCAATAAATAATAGCTATACACATAATGTATGCAGTATAAACCAATTAATTAAAATCCTTTTAAGTAAGAATTATCACTCCATTAATATTTTATTTTAATCTTTTAAAGTACGGTACACTGAATACAGATAAAATTCCAAGTTGCTAAAGCTTGCATGTATTTAATGTTACGTCCAAATGTAATGTATTTTATGTATTAAGGTAAGTGCTCTAGAGAGCACTCAGGAAATTATCTTTTGTTATCTTGTCATAACGACGACGGGAATGGAGGCAGCTGTGTTGCATCTACATTTAACCAGGCCAACACAGATGATGCTGTCACACAATGTCCAGGACAGCCCTGACAGGACTGCCGAATAGCCTGCTAGACACTCATGTAACGAACCTATTTATAACAGAGAAGTTAAATTTACTGCACTGTGAACACAAAGTACTTTGTACAGGGTTTTCAGATACACTCAACCATCTACATATTGAAATGTAATTTAATAAACACTATGGATTATTATTTTCTTGTATTTCTTCTATTTCTGTTAGGGGACAGTAATATAAAAATGTGTAGGTTTTATATATATAAATATACATTTATGTAAAAGCTACAAATTTCATTTCAGAAAAGCATTACAAAATATTGCTAAAAAATGAGAGCAATAGGCCCTATTTTACAAATGAGAAAGCCAATTCCAAGAAATACTTTTAGGAAGATAACTTACAGACCTAAAACTAAAAATGGACTATAATTCTAAGAGAGTACAAAATTTAAGACAGGGATATTAGAGCTGAAAACGACTGTATAGATGACCTCATCCTATTCCTTTAATTTATAGATAGAAAAACTGAGATCAGGCAAACATTTCTGCTCCACCTCATTACCTTTCTAGTCCCTAAATAGCAAATCCAACAAAAACAAGGAAATGCCAGGTTTCAATCTGCTTTACACCATACAGCATCTTTCATGTAATTAAAAATATAGCATAATAAAAATAAAATATTAGAAGAATAAAAATAACATACATATCTCAGATTGGAAAGGAATCTGAGAATATGGTTAATTGTAAAAATAATAGTAATATAATTATCTTATGGAAAAATGCAAAACTTATTCTGAAATGGAACAACTTCTTTTTCTTTTTCATGGTACATCAAACTAGAAAAGTAAATTAAATACTTATGAAGTATTTTGTTTTTCAGTTAATATTAAATCAAATCAAATAACTAGACATTTTATAGTGAAGAAAATAGATTTGATCATATACTTACCTCCTCAATATAATCTGACTCTGACAAAGACTCAGATGATAAAGGTTTATCTTCAGGATACATCTTTCTCTTTTTGCTGAGTCCCTTAATGTCCTAGTAAACAAAAAAATACGTGGACCTTGACTCAAAAAGACATATTACTATTCCATGAAAATTTTATTTCTAAGTTCTAGTAACATTTCTTCCGATTATCATAAAATGATAATCCATTTTCATTTTAGAGATGTCTAAAAGTGACCAGGAATCAGTCTTTAAATCCAATGAAGTAATGCTTTTATTAAAAACCTAAAAAGAAATAACTACATATCCACTTAGATATAACATCCTCCTTATTTTCTTTAACTATATACGACAGAATTTTACAAAGTCATAAGGAACTATATAGACGGTACAAGATTTGGGTCCCTTGTATTCTAATTCCTTTGTTTCTACCCAAAGTTGTATCAGACAGGCCTGATCCAGACAGTGCTGTAGAGAAGAAAAATCAATGGGTAATTATTTGCAATGATCTAAAAGGATCTGTACACAGTAATTCCTTTAGTGCATTAAGTATTAAATTCACATAAAAAAAATCTTTGTCTCTAAATATTTTTAATGTTGAAAAAATGCATACCTGGGGAAGGATAGGGTCTCAGAGTGGAGGAGAACTTAGGACTTAAATATATATTTTAAGAAATAAAAAGTGTTAGGATTTACTAAAGCTTCAAAGTGGACATGCTGGTTACCATTTTATTATTTTTCCATATACTTTTTCTGTATGTCTCAAGTAGTTTCTATCAACAAAAACAACAGAACCACACAATGAAAAATGCTCACCTGTAATCTTAATTAAAAAATTATAAAAATAATATAAAACTTTATGCAGCATGAACCCAATTTTGAAGATATAAACAAAAAATTCATGTAGAAAATAAACTAACAGTGATGATCTTATGTATTAGATTACAGGTGATTAACAGGTTTATTATTTTGGTAGAAATGATAAATGCTCATAGTAAGAAAATTCACCTAAATCCCACTACCTAAACCATTAGGATTTTTGTAAACATCCTCCTATGTGTATATTTACAAGTTTACACAAATACTTGCTGTTTGGAACCCGCTCTTCTCACCCAATAGTATTTTTCCATGCCAACTACATCGTCATTTATGGCGGCCTTTGACATTCACTGAAAGTATATGCCACAGTTTACTTAACCAATCTCCTTCTGGAGGGCAGCCATATGGGTTCTTTGCTATTAAAAACAAAGTTGAAATACAGTGAAGGGTACTTAAATGTAAAATCTTGATCTAACAATAATGACTAAGGCAAAGACCAAAGTAGCCTTCACCCAAATGATTTTCTCAATCTCCCACAACCCCACATTGTTTATTTCATTTTTTGAGTCACACTTTACCATAAAGCCTCTTTTATCAGGCTCTTTTATCATATTAATGTCAGATTATTGGATTACAGTTCATATTTACTTTTAGAATTACTAAACATATATTTTACTAATTTTTGTTTGTGAAGTGTTCTTTAATACCGAAGGTCACTAAATTTCTGAATGATGTATTACTACTTTTTCTTAAGTCTGTTCATTATATTTAAACTTTGTTCATGGTTTATTTTTTTGTGATTTTTTTTGCCACTGAGAATTAGAATTATATGGTCACAAGTTTTTTGAGGCACAGTCTTTCCCTATCCCAATATTATATTCATGTCTTTCTCTAGTAATATTTTCATAATTTAAAACTGACTTATCTGAAATTTATTTGGCCTTAATGAGTGCCCAGCTTTATATTTCCCAAATGGCAAGTCATTTTGTCCCAAGAAAAGCCATCTTTATCATATATTAAATTCCACAAACACTTAAAAATTTTAACCTGAACTCTATACTGTTCCATTTTTTCTTTTTCTTTTTCTGGTACGATACTACATTGTTTTAATCAAAGCATTTAAAATGTTTTAACATCTAGTAGGAAATGTCATACCCAGGAACATTTATTAAATCTTCATCTGCATCTCAGAACAGATTTATAGTTTTCTTCAAATAAGTCCTGTTCAATTCTTCCATTATGTTTTCTAATTGGACATCACATTGTACTTTCACAACAATTTAAACTAAAAATGGGGCTAAAAACAATGATTGATATATATGATTTAAAATTTCAACCTATCCCTTACATTACAACAGAAAACCTAAACAAGATTAAGAGACGTAAAAGATGATAATCATGTGTATAAAAGAGTAATAGTATCCAAAAATATTTAACGCTTATCAATCAGAAAGATCAAAAACAACCCAACAACAACAAAAAAAATGGGCAAAGACTAAACAGGCAATTCATAACTCACAGAAAATGAAATCTGAATGGCTAATAAGCAAATGAAAAGGCTCAACCTTCCATACCAGTGATTTTCAACCTTTTTCATCTCATGGTACACACAAGCTAATTAATAAAATTCTGCGGCACACAAAAAATATACTTTTTGCCAATCTGACAAAAAGATAGGTACAATTTTTATTCATTCACACTGGACAGCTATTGTTGTGTTGACTGTTGTCATTTTTTCATTTGACAGTCTAAGGAAAAAGAGGTCAGTGCCCCTGACTAAATAGTCAGGTATTGCGTTTTAAAAATTCCCACAGCACATTGGTTGAAAAGTGCTGATTTATACGCATCAAACTAACAAAGAAGAAAGCCTCCCAGTGTTGACAGGTATGTATGGAACAAAAATACTATCATATGCTACTAGCAGGAATGCAAATTAGTAATAAGCACTCTGGTGAGCAAAAGGTAGACAAGTCAAATGTGTGTACATCCTAGCACTGAGAAATCCTAGTCCCAAGTAGATATCAGAATATTAACAATAACTTGTGGAAAAAGAAAAATGGATACAAAAATAGCCACTGGAGCACTGTTTGCATTACTGAAAAATGAAAACAATCTAGATGTCCACAATCAGAATGGAGCAATAAACTGTGGCAAATTAATAGAATGGAATACTTTAAGCAAAAGCAACAAACCTGAGAGTATCAACAAGGATAAAAGTCAACAGCAATGTTGAGTGAAAAATACAAGTTTCAGAAGGAAACACAATGATACCATTTTGAAAATAAAAAATACTCTGCACTATTTATGAATATATGTAACCAAAGCGTATAAATGTGGAAGGAAGGATGCATACTAATTCAGAAATAGCTGCCTCTAAAGAAGGATAAAGTGTCTGGTACTTTTTCCCCTCTGGTAACTATCAGTCTGTTGTCTGTATCTATGGGTTTGTTTTGTTTGTTTGTTTGCTGCTTTTTGTTTTATACCCCACATATGACATATACATTTTTTTAAAACATGAAAGTAATCACTTATTCTATAATGGTTTTTAAAATGAGAAATTAATGTTGAATCCCTATTAACCATATGGTTTCTTTTGGCCAGTTACATTACAAATTATATTAATACACTTCTTATCTTTGAATTCTTATAATTAACCCAACTTGGCCACAAGTTTCTTCTTTTAGTATCTTAGTAAATTTTTATTTGCAAATTGATATGAAAAGCACTCCTAGGTATATACCCAAGATCAATGAAAACATCATGTCCACACAGAAACTTGTATACATATGTTCACAGCAGCATTATTCATCTTAGCCAAAAGGTAGAAACAATTCAAATATCTACTAACAGATGAATGGATAAATATATTGTGGTATATACATACAATGGAATGTTACTCATCCATAAAAAGGAACAAAGTACTGATATACATGCTATCACTTAGATGAACCTCAAAAATATTACACGAAAGGAAAGAAGTCAGACAGGAAAGGTTACATATTGTATGATTGCTTTTATGATATATCCAGAATATGCAAATCCAAAGACATAGGAAGCAGATTAGAGGTTATGTGGTTATGTTGCTTTTGCTTATAATATTCTACTTTATAGGTTCTTTTCAAAGGGGTGATGAAAAAGTTTTAAAACTAGAGTGAGGTAGTTGTTGCACAGCATTGTACATACACTAAGCACCATCAAATTGTAATTTTAAGATGAGTAATAGAAAATTATGTGAATTTCACCTCAATTTTAAAAAATTATATAAAAACCCAGTAAAATACAGTGACACTCGTTCACAGTTTTCTTTCATTTAGTAATTGCTTTCCTTAGGCTTTATCCTATATAATAAAAGCCTAATATGCTAAGTGTCTGGTGGACCGGTCGGCCATTCAACCAATCAAAGCGTAATATGCTAATGAGATGCTAAGGCTGCTCAACCGCTCGCTATGACATGCAATGACCACCAGGGGGCAGACAGTCAACCGGTTGACCAGTCACTATGATGTGCACTGACCACCAGGGGGCAAACACTCCAACCAGTAGGTTAGCTTGCTGCTGGGGTCCAGCTGATCAAGACTGAGCAAGATGGGCTGGACATGCCCTGGAGCCCTCCTGCATCTCTCCCCAGCCCCAATTGTGCACCGTGGGGTCCCTCGGCCTGGCCCGAGCCCTCTCACAATCCAGGACCCCTTGGGGGAGCCAGTTTCAGCCCAATCCCACAGGGGGAGCACCACTCAGCCAGGAGCCGGGCTCACAGCTGGCAAGCACAGCGGTGATGGCAAGAGCCTCTTCCGCCTCCGCAGCAGCGCTAAGGATGTCCGAGGGGGAGTGGGCCTAAACCATCAGTCGGACATCCCCCAAGGGCTCCCAGACTGCAAGAGGGCACAGGCTGGGCTGAGGGGACCCCCCTACTCTGCTGAGTGCACAAATTTCATGCACCGGGCCTCTAGTTGTTAATAATCAGAACAAGATTTTAAAATGTAAATCAGAAACATGGATAGGGATAAATTCATAATTAATTATAGTTAAATCACAAGTAAAGATAAAATATCTACTTACAGTAGTAAAATTCTTTTTCAAAACTTATCTATGGTATACTCAATTTGAAACAGAAGACCATGTTCTTTAATTAAAGGGGCCTCTTTTAAAATGACTTGAAGAAACAAACGAAATGTTTAATCTCCATTACTTAAAATTTGTAATCTGAGATAATCCATTAATCTACACAAATTCAAGCTTTCTTCAGGAATACTCTTCTATCTTCTAATCAATAATGAAACCAACAAATAATTTCCTTAAATCAATATGAAATGCCATAAAAGCCAAAAAAAAAATCTCAAGTTAAAAAGGGGAACACATTATTGTTTATTCCTTTAAATGAAGTATTGTATGATAGACTACTTAAGGCAATGTAAAATTATAATTACCTTTTCTTTCTCACTTGCATCCTTTGACTTCTTTTTCTTTTTTAAACTATCCTAAACAAACAAATATTTTATCAATTTTAAATGTAAAAGATACAGCATAATAGCATAAAGATAAAAATACCAAAAAGGTGATTGGTTCTATAAGTGAAAAAAGTTTACTTCAATACCAGAATTTTATTTTAAAAATATAGAAGAAATGTGTTGTGTATATATGTGATTGTAAAGAAATAGGCTTCTTCATGTATCTGTCCGTGTATCAAATCTATGTACACCAAAAATGATATACTGTCTGTGAAAACCACATGGTGTATTTTACTATAAGACTTTATGTCATTGCCTAATTTTGCCTGAGGTGGTCTTATGCACGGGTGTTCTAATTCACTGTGTGCTCAGACATCTCCCAATTTGATTTCCCTACTCTCCTTATAAGGAGGGGAGGTAAGAATTTTTGCTTTTGAATCCCTCAGTTCCAGTTATTAATAACCTCCCTGAGCCTTTCTTATCCATAAAGTGGGATAACAAATATCTACTTCATAGGGTTGTTGAGAGAATTGAGTTAACATGTCAAGTGCTTAGAACTATGAATAACATGTAATAGGCATTCAATACATGTTAGCTATCAATATCATTAGTCTGGCTCTTTTGCTTTAGAAGACAGAGAAAAAAAACCCAACATTTGCTGAATACTTATTAGACACCAGGCATTTGTCAGAAGACATATCACTAGGGAAGGAGCTATCTGCCACAAAACAAAACAGTTGCTGCTTCTCCTGGGAGCCTGGGACACTGTTTGTCCAATGTGGTCCATGGACACCCCTGTATCAGCATCACAGAGGACATCTGTTAAAATGTAGACTTTTAAGACTAATCAGACTTACTCAGACTCTGAAAATGAGGCCCAGGAAACTACATTTTTATTGTAACGTGCACGTTTTTCTCATGACCACTAATGTTTGAGAGCTTATTTGTCAGACAATTCTGGTTAGTACAGAGCAGACTTAGGTTCAGTAGAAAAGACACTAGACCAGATAATAGAACACATATTCAAGTTCTAATACTACCTGTATAAATTTAAGCAAGACATTTTTTTCTTTGAACAATGACTTTTTTTTAAAGCTTTTCTCATTGATTTTTTTTTTTTTTTTTTAAGAGAGAGAGAGAGAGGGAGAGGAGGAGATAAAACATCGATGATAGACCAGCTGCCTCCCACACGCCCCCCCTACTGGGGATAGAGCCCGAAACCCAGGCATGTGCCCTGAGTGGGAATTGACCCGGCAACCTCTTGGTGCCTGGGACGATGCTCAATCAATTGAGCCACATCAGCTGGGCTCAACTTTGACTTTTCATGAAAACTAGAGGCCCGATGCACGAAATTTGTGCAAGAGTAGGCCTTCCTTCCCCCAGCTGCCAGCACTGGCTTCCCTCTGGCCACTGGCAGGCACCCAGGACCCGGGCTTCCCTTTGCAGTCTCGGCTTCATCCGGTCTAATTAGCATATTACCTTTTATTATTATAGATGGGAAAAATAATGCCTGCCAGGCTTATCATAAAGCTATCATGGATGTATTGAGAGAGAAACATATGTGTGAAAATATTTAGAGAACAATTAAATGCCATATGTAAGGTATAAAGTGGCACAGAACATCTCAATTTTAAACTGAGAGCAATTTAAGATTGGAAGAACTAAAAGAAAAACCTAATTACAAGTCTTCACTGTCCAACATGGTACTAATTTAAGTAATTTTACCTTACTGTCTGATTCAGTCTCTGACATGGAGCTTTCAGAAGATTTATGTGAACGGTTCTTCTTTTTCTTTTTCCTTTTTCCTTGTTTCTTATCCTATATAAAACATTTTTAGAAATATTTGCTTTCTGTTTTAAAAATATAATAGATGTATTTTAGTAATACCAAATCTTTATCAATATACAAAAGTTAATGAAAGGACCAGCTTTAAACATATGCTTTACTTAATATTTAAAATGTAACATATCATCTCCTTGTTTTATAAAAAGTCAAGTGATTTGAGTCACACATAATTCCTAGCATCTAGTCAAATACCATTTTACATTTTTCAAGTCCATTTCTTCTACTCATATTTTTAAATGAACAAGACAAATTCAAAATCTATAAAACATATACATCAATATTTACATCAGTGCTCTCGGAAATAATAAAAACCTGTAAGTAAACATTTTTAACTGACATTTCATAAAGTGTTTCCTTTGTCATTAAATAAATTATAGATATTTCATGGATCATCATAGGCAAACCTTACCTCATCTTCAGAATCTGAAGAACTGCTGGAAGAATCAGAGCTTGATGAAGAAGAAGATGAATACTTGACCAAGCACAAAACAATTAAAGCTTGTGAGATGCAGGAATTTTTTTCTTTTACTAAGTCTCTCAAATACTTAACTAAATCAACCTAGTGTCATAGAAACAGATGCCATCTTCGTAAGACTTAAGTATTAAAATGTCAAATTTCCTCACAGAAAACGCTCAACAAAGTAACACATATAGCAATGGTGGTCAATTTCCCCTCTTTAATAGCAATACAGGAGTTACTAGGTTATAAGGAGGTTGGCACCTGTCTTTTATATCAGAAATAGAACAAAACCACCCATAACAATCAAAAGACCTCCAGGCTCTTTGACTCATCTAGAGTTAGCAAAGAGTTAGCATACAGACTATATAAATTATTCTTACTTTTTTCGTAGGCTTTTAATTATAATATTTAGAAAAATGGAAAAGTTTTGCTCACCCTACCAGATTTCTTCTTTTCTTTTTTCTTTCTCTATAAGAAAACAAAAGTACAAGCCTAAATAAGCTAATGTGCATTTTCAAATGTATCTATAAATATAAAAGCCTAATATGCTAAGTGTCCAACGGGGTCAACCGTTCAGTCAACCACTTGCTATGATGCGCACTGACCACCAGGGGGCAGACGCTCCAACCAGTACGTTAGTTTACTGCTGGGGTTCAGCCGATTGGGACTGGATGAGATGGGTAGGACACGCCCTGAAGACCTCCGCAATCCCTCCCTGGTCTCTAAAATATTTCTTCTAATGAATTTCCTTTCAATGTGCACGAATTTGTGCAATGGGCCTCTAGTCCAGTGATGGCGAACCTTTTGAGCTCGGCGTGTCAGCATTTTGAAAAACCCTAACTTAACTCTGGTGCCGTGTCGCATATAGAAATTTTTTGATATTTGCAACCATAGTAAAACAAAGATTTATATTTTTGATATTTATTTTATATATTTAAATGCCATTTAACAAAGAAAAATCAACCAAAAAAATGAGTTCGCGTGTCATAGGTTCACCATCACTGCTCTAGTCTATTAATAATGGTACATAGCAGTATTATGGAAACCCAACTGTGAAATTAAGGATAGCAGTAAAGTAAACATGGTCTTACTTGTCTTTTTTTGGATGAGGTCTCACTTCCACTTAATAATTTCTCCCTGTGTTTTTCTAGTTCTTTCTTCCAGTTCTGCAAAAAGGTGATAAACACCATCAGAGGGCATCTATCCCCTTACGATACATCTAATATGTAAGACAGCCACTGTTTCCTTTCTCAATCCTCTCACCCATCCAGCCTCTAATTACAAAAGATACTCCAGGTGCCAGAATCCTCTACTCTATCACCAAACAAGCCTTTGCCAATTGTTTTCAAAGAGGACATTAAGAGATGGGAATTCTCCACTGTATATTGAGACTAGGTATTACTGAGGCTAGGAATTTTTTTTTTTCTAACAAAGATGGTTAGATTCTTTTTCCAAACAGTGAAAATTAAATTAATCTATACTGTGGCTGAAATGCTGATACGTGTTTGTAATCAAAGCAAGCAAATATCACCATGGAAATCTCAGGATAAGATGTGGACGAGGGAGAGAAGGGGCAGAACCTAACATTTAGAAAACTTCAAGATGATTTAAATTACTGTAAGATGATTTTCCTCTTTCTTAACGCAGTCATACATTTATATACAAAACTGTACTCAATAAAACAAAAACACCTATGAAATACAGAGCCCCCTTAACCTAAAGAGGTAGGCCAAAACCCTTCATTTATTAAAAAATTATTTCATTCTTCTTACAACATTAGCCTATTTTTTTTTAAAAAGGTACAAACCTCATTCATTTTTTCTTCAAATTCAGCCAATGCCTTGGAACCTTTCTTTTTCTTTTCTAGTTGTTCTTTCACTTCTTCCCTTAAAAAATAGAATATAAAAATGTTTTTAAGCAATTCAAATTAGAGATGGATGCTTATAAATAAAACAAAATTTCATAAAGTTATCTTAGTATCCTAACTTATAAACCTCCATTCCAGTGTTGATGCACTTCGAATTTGTGTTCACATCCTTGTGAATCAATTATCATAATAAAGCCTAACAGATAACACTAATCACTCCTTTTCTAAACATGGATTATAAAAGTTTAATACAGAAGACATTTGAGTACTCCAAGTTACAGGCACTGTTTTAAATATATTTTCCTTCAATCCTCACAACAATCCTGTGAGAAAAAGTATTCTTTTACTTCAAGATGAACTGAATTACTGTAGCTGCAATCTGGGGCAGCTTAGAAATCTGCCTAGTGTCACAAAGCTATTGTAGTTTCAGCATTAGAGTGAGCTAAGGTCTATTTGACTGAAACATTACCTTCTATTAGTAAATCACCCATCTTATAATGTACCTCAACATGTGCAGAAAAGAGAGCACAGCACACCTGACTGCTTATTTGTAGAAAGGCCTGCTTATACATCTGGCTCTGGCTGGTGTCTAGGAACTTGGATTTTAGGTGGGTCCTTACCATTCCCTGGTAAGAGTGGTTTACTGTGCCTGTTTGTACAAACTTTATAGTTTAGGCTGAACACCTGCATTCCTTCTGGGAGTCTGGAGTTTTGGCACCTGATAGACAGAGGCTGGCCAGTTCTCAACTAAAACCCTGGGCACACAGACTCCCCATGAACTCCCTTGGTTGGCAACATCTCACATGTGTTATCACAACTCTTGCTACGGGAATTAACACACATCCTGTGCAACTGCACAAGAGAGGAAGCCTTGGAAGCCTGCACCCCGTCTCCCTCAGACTTCACCCACGTGCCTTTTCCCTTTGCTGATTGTGGCTGGTATCCTCACTGTAATAAATCTTACCCACAAGTACAACTATCTGTGAGTCCTAGCGAATTACTCAACCTTGGAGTTTTCTTGGGGACCTCTGACACACGTTATACTTGATGGAGCACAATCCTCTTTAAATTCATTCCTTCCCCCCAATTTTAAAGACAAAATATATTTTGTTTTGGGATAATTTGTTTCCGGTATGCTGCAATAGTCATTAATAGCACTCATGAATTCGGTAAGAGATGGACATGCTTACTTCCTGTTTAAGTCAAAGGAAGGATTCCCTTATATATGTAAGCACAACTTTCAACTACAGTTGCCCAGCTTCCAGAGGCACTTAGGAGTCTAAACTGACAACTCTCAAGCTTGTCATGTGTCACCTCAAGAGTATGATATTTAATAATAAGGAAGACACTAAAAATAGTAAGGCCAGTGCTATGAACGTTATTTACAAAAGATTAGTGCCACTCAACCAGGGCAAAAAACATCAATTTAAAGCCAAAATCTTACAATGGGAAAAGCCAGCAGATAAAACTAGAAACAAGGCCTAACATTATCCTAACACCTAGTTACACATCAATGAAGGATGAGATTACTCAAATTTATCATTTTAAAAAGAACAATGCAAGGTTAAGTTCATTTTTCGGGAATAGAGAAGAGATTGGTGTGAAAAGATTATCTGGTAGTGTGTTAGCTATTTAGGGTGGTGGGTTCTCAAATGTTTGCTTTACACTCATGCATGTGTTTCATACATTTAAAAACACACATATCAAATATTACTTCAAAATTACATATCTGGCAGTTGCTTGGCAATCAATAAAAGTTATAACAATAACCGCTTAAACATGTATGAACATTTCATAAATAGGTAAATTATTTCACAAATACCATGTAGGCCTTGGTCGATTCAGATAATCTTGGATTGTTGGCCCTGAAGACTGGACTGGACCCCTTGATCTGGCCATTGCTATTGGATTCATATAGGCCTTGAGGAAAGAACAAAAATTTATTTCATTAAAATAACCATTAAAAATACAAAAGCTCACTTAATTTTTTAAAAAAATGTTTTTATTGATTTTAGAGGGAGAGGGAGAGGGAGAGGGAGAGAGAGAGGGAGGGGGAGGGGGAGGGGGAGGGGGAGAGAGAGGGAGAGAGGGAGAGAGAGAGAGAACTACTTGAGAAACACCAATTGGCAGTCTCGTACATTCCCCCTACTGGGGATTGAGCCTGCAACTCAGGTATGTGCCCTGATGGGGAATCCATCAAGCAACCTTTTAGTTCATGGGACGACACTCAACCAACTGAGCCACACCAGCAGGGCTAGTATTCTGTTTCTTGTTTAAGGCAAGGATTAATGGTATCAAAGCAAATGGTATTTGTTAGTATATAAGTTCTTTGGTTTATCTCTTCTCGTTCCCCCAACTCCACATCGAGGTATGTCAGTCTGTTCCATGCCTCCATGCTTCAGGTCTTATTTGTTGGTCAATTCATTTGTTCATTAGATTCTACAAATAAGTGAGATCATGTGATATTTGTCTTTCTCAGTTTGTGCTCTTAATCTTTAAACAATACTTTTACTATGCACGAGAAAGACTTTTAAAACAAAAAAAGGTAACTGTTTTACAAAGGTAAAGCTTTTTCACTTGTTATACTTGTGTGAAAAAGAATACTAACATTAAGGGGGTGGGTGGTTAGGCATTAGTTAAAATAAAGAAATTGTGTGATTTCTTGAAACATCTCACTATCACTCAATTACTTTAAATGCTTTTATTAATATATAAGAACTAGAGGCTCAATGCACAAAATTCATGCAAGGGGCTCTGCCCTCGCAGCCCTGGCTTCGTCTGGAAGGTTGTTCAGCTGTCTGGTCTAATTAGCATATTACGTTTTTATTATTATAGACTAGAGGCCCGGTGCACGAAATTCGTGCACGAGGGGGGGGGGGTGTCCTCTCAGCCCAGCCTGCACTCTCTCCAATTTGGGACCCCTCGGGGGATGTCCGACTGCTGGTTTAGGCTCAATCCCGGGGATCCCTCTCACAATCCTGGATCAGTCCTGCCTGATCGCCCCTAACTGTCCCCCATGGTGGCCTGGTCACCCCTTACTGCCTTCCCATGCCAACCTGGTCACCCCCAACTGCCCCCCTGCTGGCATGATCGCCCCCAATTGCCCCCTCCCCCCCAGCCGGCCTGGTTGCCCCATGCAGCCTGCTGTTCAGTCGTTTGGCTGTCCCTCACTAACTCCCCTGCCGGTCTGGTTGCCCCACGTAGCCTGCTGTTTGGTCATCCGTCCGGTTGTTTCAGTCGTGAGGGCCTGTGGCTTTTTATATATTAGGGTTTTGACTCCAAACTGCTGCATGAGTTTGGGCAAAAGAAAAAAAATCTGTTTTTGAAACTCAGGATGGCAAACTGGGCTCATAGGAATTTAAGTGGGCAGGTTGGAAAGAGCATGCAGTAAAACTAAGGACAAAATGTGCAGAACTTCATTTGTTACTTTAGTTACCTATTTTTATCTAGAGGAGACATCTACTTAGAACAAAGTAACAGAAAAAAACACACAAAAACCCATGAAGGAAACTTCTGGAAAACAATGGGCACAAAGAGTGACTGACCATCATGAATTTAAGGGCCCTTTATAAATCTCGAGAATTAAAATGTTCAATTAAAACACATACACACACACTCTGTTCAAGAATGCTCAATATCGCCCTAACCGGTTTGGCTCAGTGGATAGAGCGTCGGCCTGCGGACTGAAAGGTCCCAGATTGGATTCCGGTCAAGGGCATGTACTTTGGTTGCGGGCACAGTGCCAGTGGGGGGTGTGCATCGATGTTTCTCTCTCATCGATGTTTCTAACTCTCTATCCCCTCTCCCTTCATCTCTGTAAAAAAATCAATAAAATATATTAAAAAATAAAAGAATGCTCAATATCAAAATCAACCCTAATGTAGCTATGGACTTTGGGTAAAAATGGTGTGTCAATGTCGGTTCATCAATTGTAACAAATGTACCTGGAGCAGGATGTTGATAATGGGGGAGGCTGTGTACATGTTGGCACAGGGAGTATATGGAACTCTACTTTCTGCTCAATCTTGCTGTGAACCTAAAACTGCTGTAAAATATAATCCATTAAAATTTTTTTCCACTGAAATTTAATGTTTTTTTAAAAAGCAAGTGTGTCATCTTTAAAACTATAATTTTATCAATGTAAGAAGAAAAATGCCAATATTCTCATTTTGTTTTTTTCTTCTTTTTTTCCCCTCTTTATTAAGGTATTACATATGTGTCCTTATCCCCCCATTGCCCCCCGCCCCCCTACTCATGCCCTCACCCCCCTGTTGACGGTGTCCATTGGTTAGGCTTATATGCCTGCATACAAGTCCGTTGGTTGATCTCTCCCCCTTACCCCCACCCTCCCCCCCTACCTTCCCTCTGAGGTTTGATGGTCTGATCAATGCTTCTATGTCTCTGGATCTGTTTTTGTTCATCAGTTTATATTGTTCATTATATCCCACAAATGAGTGAGATCATGTGATATTTATCTTTCTCTGACTGGCTTATTTCGCTTAGCATAATGCTCTCCAGGTCCATCCACGCTGTTGCAAATGGTAAGAATTCCTTCTCATTTTGTTATTTAAATTCAAGAATTATTACTACTGGGCTACGTATCAGATGATCCAAGCTTTGGTCCCAATTTGCACAGTTCCATCGCCTCCTCCATTACAATGGAACACTGAATTTGACAACCCGTGTCTTTTCATGTTTTCACATACCAACAACCTTTGAAGTGCAAACAAAATGTCACCAGAACACTGCGCCAAGACACCATGCAGAGAAACAAGCAGAGCCCAGAATTATCAAAATGCCCTGCGGTAAGTGAAGCTCGCTTGTGAACATTTTCCAAATGCTTTAAAGGAATGCTTTGTACCAACCAACACATTTCCCGAGTAAAACAAAACATCCCAGGCCTCCGTATGAACCCGGACCCAAGGCCTGATGATACATTCTAAACATTCAAGGCCCACGCACATCACAGAGCCCAAACACTCAGCACACCAAGCCTGAAGGATGGTCCAGCAGACACCACTTCCACTCCAGGAGATCAGGATACAAGCTCCGACCCTCAGCCAGGGAAGCGGGAGAAAAGAACACGCTTTACCTTGTACTCAACGTTCACTAGGGTTGTTTCTAAGACACCTTTGACTTATGAAGACTACATAACATTAAAACAAACGTTTTGAAGATGGAAAATGTCATCATTTCATAAAAGCAAAGATCATTTAGCACCCCCCCCAACCATTATAAAGGAAATAATCGTTGAGAAAAAGCGAGTTTATTCAATTTAGTACATTCGCTTTCATTTGCATTTATCTTTTTATTTTGGTGTTCAGTGGTCAAAACCCCGGGATAGGCAAGCCTAGGAACTGTAAGGCTGCCACCCACGTTTACTGCTCATCTTCTGTGTTCACGGCCCATCCGATCGGCGGCATAACCTGGGTTTTCCAAGCCAAGCAGCCGAGCAGCCACCTAGAATGCCTTCTTCCCATCCCCACCTGCCGAAAGCACCTTCTCCTTTGAATGCCCTCGGAGCCTCAAACCTCCATCAGATGTCATTTCCTACCCTACCATTTATGTACCTCTTTTTATCTCACTCCCTGAATAACAACTTCCACGCCAAGCACTTGCCTGGCCGTCTTCCCTTCCGTGGTCTCAACGACAGGTTGAGGGTTATCACTGATGTGTTACAGAAGAGGA